ACACTTACCTTTACTGAAGATGCAGCAATGACTGATGAGACACTGTGTCCTGGAAGTGCCTTTTCCTCCTGAGTACTGTAGGTCCTGTTTGGCATTTTCTTCCAGAACAGGCCTTATCACACTGTGTATGCCACTACGATTCTTAAATCTCTCAAACCAACCTTTGCTGGTTTTAAATTCACCAATATGAGCACTAGTTCCAGGCGTTTTTCCCTGTTCACCTGGGTGTTAGTCGACTGGTGTGGGTTGCATCCTGGGAGACAAGATTAAGGACCCCAATGGAAATAAGTTAGACAGTCTTCGATGACACTGACTTTTTTGGGTTATCCTGGGTGGCTAACCCTCTGGGGTTAATTGTTTCTTGGTATTCTCAATAAGCCACACCAACAACGGTGCTACAGCAGCAGCAGTCAGCTGACACGCTGCTGTACAGCAGCAAGCCAGCAGCTGCAGTGCAGCAGTGCAGCAGACAGCACAGCAGACAATGCTACAGCAGCAGCAGCAGCATGGTACACACAGCAGCTACAGGCAGCAGCAGCAGCTGACAATGCAAGCAGCAGCAGCGACAGCTGCAGCAGCAGGTGACAGGCAGCAGCAGCAGCTGACAGTGCAGCAGCAGCAGCTGACAGTGCAGCAGCAGCAGCTGACAGTGCAGCAGCAGCAGCTGACATGCAGCAGCAGCTGACAGTGCAGCAGCAGCAGCTGACAGTGCAGCGCAGCAGCAGCTGACAGTGCAGCAGCAGCAGCTGACAGTGCAGCAGCAGCAGAGCAGCTGACAGTGCAGCAGCAGCAGCAGCAGCTGACAGTGCAGCAGCAGCAGCAGCTGACAGTGCACAGCAGCCAGCTAGAGACGACAATGCTACAGCAGCAGCAGACGATGCTACAGCAGCAGCAGACGATGCTACAGCAGCAGCAGACGGTACTACAGCAGCAGCAGCAGCAGACGGTACTACAGCAGCAGCAGCAGCAGCAGCAGCAGACGGTACTACAGCAGCAGCAGCAGCAGACGGTGCTACAGCAGCAGCAGCAGCTGACGGTGCTACAGCAGCAGCAGCAGCAGCAGCAGCTGACGGTGCTACAGCAGCAGCAGCATCAGCAGTTGACCATGGTACCACAGTATTTCGATAATATTTTACCACAGGGTTGGCACTAGAAGCTTTCTTGGGGCCCATGGTCACTTATTTTGCAGATAAAATCACCAAAAACACTGTAATAATACGAAATGTTACGATTGTATGCTTGGATGTTACCGCGGAGGCTGGCTTGTAAACAATGCCACCGGCGGAACATGTGAGGCTGGCTCAGGTCACACATTAGACGCGTCTCGGACGAATAGTGTTGAGCGGGTTTTTTAGCGGTATGCGAGGAAAAATCTTAGCGATAAAATGTATCGGTATGCGGATTTAACGTTATGTGATGCCAACGGTATGCGGGGTCCACTGTACAGTGGGCCCCCGCCTTACGATATTAATCCATTCCTGAGAGCTCATCGTAAGCCGAATTAATTTTCCCCATAAGAAATAATGGAAATCAAATTAATCCGTTCCTAACACCCCAAAGTATGAAAAAAAAATTTTTACCACATGAAATATTAATTTTAATACACACAAACTGAAGAAGACATGCACAATTACTACTCTACTAAGAATAGAATACGTACTCTTACATTGTGTACAAGTTGTACAAGTTAGTACAGAATAAACAAACAGCAACACACCATTTTTAGAGTGAATGAAGATATTATTATTAACATAATAAAAAGCACTAAACCCACAAGGGTTGTGAATTGCTATATATAGAGTGAAGGCATACGAAAAGAATATTTTTCTACAGTTATCCCCAAGTTTGACTAGAGAAAACGTAATTCTTCCGACACTACCTACACAACTGCTTTGTAAACAAATCTCATATTTACGTCAATTTTTATTCTGTGAGTGTATGTATTATGTTTATATGCTATTTAACGGTTTCATATATAATTTTGAGGAAAATATCATAGATGGATTAATGAAAATGCCTATACAGTGGACCCCCGGTTTACGATCAGCTCCCAATGCGACCAATTATGTAAGTGTATTTACGTAAGTGCATTTGTACATGTATGTTTGGGGGCTGAAATGGACTAATCTACTTCACAATATTCCTTATGGGAACAAATTCGTTCAGTACTGGCACCTGAACATACATCTGGAATGAAATAATATCGTAAACCGGGGGTCCACTGTATTAATGTAAAATAAGACATTTAATGTGCCCAAGAGTGATTATCATTACGTAGTATTGGTGCCATGAGTAGACAGACTTACCGATTTTAATGTGTACCTGCACACCAGCACAGTGTGTAAGTATATTTAGGTAGAGGTACACATAAGTATAATTATCAGAGTACATATAAAATACACAGTAACTTTAAAGCACTTGAAATTTTGGAAAGTTTCTTGACATAATAGATGTGGTCACCGTGAATGCAAACAAACCGGGTGGGGCGCGCTGTATTTGAAAGACCGCTTGCCGTATAGCAAATTTTGGTCATAATTTGACATCGCCGTATTAGGGGAAAGATGTAAGGCGAAACACCGTAAAGCAGGGCCCTACTGTATACTCAAAAATTCTAGCAATCTTCAAATCAAACAGAAGCTGGTAGGCCCACATGTGAGAGAATGGGTCTGTGTGGTCAGTGTGCACAGTATAAAAAAATCCTGCAGCAAGCAGTACATGAGAAAAAAAAAAAAAAAAAAAAAACTCCAACCGTGTTTTTGAATTAAAACGCTCACTTTGAGGTGTATTTTCGTGTAGTATTTATGGTTGTATTCTTGTTTTCTTGGTCTCATTTGATAGAATGAAAAACATATTATAGAAATATAAGTGATTCTGATTTATTTTACCAAGGAAAGGATCTAGAAATGGTACTCAAAGTGGCAGAAATGTTTGATTTTTGCCGATGTTCAAGAGTAAACAAATGACGTCACTGTCCAATAAATGTCCAACTAGCCATTCTAATACACAGTCACGAATGGGTTGACATTATTTATACAATTATTACAATATTGCAGTAGTCTGCATGACAGTAAATCTTCTATTTTTTGTGTGAATAAAAATTCAAAATAGAAAGCAAGAGTATTCTAACAGGGGCCTGGAGATGTGACTGATAAACATAGAAAATGCTATTTTAGTGCCAGGAATGTATGCATTGTTCATTCTGGACCCTATTTTGAAATTGACATATTTTTTAATTTGTATGAAATTGACCAAATTGCCAATTTCTGACCACTTTATTGGGTAGTTGAAATCAGCAAAGTGGCTGTTTTTTGTACTCAGTCGATAGAACAAATGAAGTTCTAAAGACATAGCTACGAGTTTGGTGGACTGGAACAACAGAATTGGCTGAAAATAGGGCTCAAAGTGGGCGAAATCATCGATGCATAAATGTTGCCGGTCGATAACTTTGCGAGAGCATAATTCCTTAAGTTTTCCATCAAATTTCGTACTTTTGGTATCATTATCACCAGGAAGAGATTCTTTATAATTTCACAAGAAATTCCCCCCTCCCCCCCAAATATTTTACACCAGGAGACACTTCAGGATTTGGGGTTGCGACGGTCAAAGGATTAAAAAGGAAGGTGATGTTTCACACATGTTCTTACTGCAACTTGGTAAACTGGAGACTAGAAGAAATTACAAAGATTGGTAATGAAAGACTGGGTGTCAGATCGGAAGGATGGAGTACGGAGGAAGTGAAAGTGTTCGTATATTTAGGAGTGGATCTGCCAACAATATCCATGGAGCCAAAAATGGTAATGACCTAGAGTATCATGGTACCAACACTCTTCCATGGGTGTGAAGCATGGATTTTAAATGTAGCAAGGAGGATGCTTTAGGCAATAGAGATGTCATGTCTGAGGGCAATGTATGGTATGAATATTATAAACAGAATTCACGGTCTGGAGATTCGGTGTGAGGTTACTATAAGTATTATCAGTGAGCTTAGGAGAGGTTATTAAGGTGGTTGGGGCATTTAGAGAGAGTGGAGTAAAACAGAATGATTTAGATTGTGTAAATCTCTGAAGGAGGGGTGTTAGTAAGTTGCAGTTTTATAACTGTTGTGTAAGCGTGCCTCTGGCAAGACAGTGATGGAGTGAATGACGAAAATATTTCTTCTTTTTCAGGTCACCCTGCCTTGGTGGGAAATGGCCAATACATTAATTAAAAAAAATCTCTAGGGGTCATCCTTGGAAAGGTTTGAGGAAGGAGGATAAAACAAAAAGGTTTTGTATGTCAAAAGACTTGGACATCCAACAGGCATGGAAGCAAGTGGTTTTCATGACTTGACATGCTGTTGGAGTGTGAACAAGGTAGCATTTATAAAGGGAATCATGGAACTGGTTAGCTAGACTTGAATCCTGGAGGTGGAAGGTACAGTTCCTGTACTCTGAAGGAGTGGAGAGGATGTTACAGTTGGAAGTGTCACCCAGGCTGTGATGTCAACACGTTTCTGACAAGACAGTGACTAAAAGAATAATGGGGAAGTCTTTCCTCTTCTTTTAGTCACTGTACCTCAGTAGGAGAAAGCCAGTGTAGTAAAAAAAAGATAAATATATTGTGGTATGTGACAGTGAATAGGAAAACTTCAGCTTGGATTGCCATGTTGTACAACTCAGAAGCTATATATTGGATGACAAGACTTGCCAATAATTATGGTAAATGACATTGTGTGTAGAGCAAACCTTTATTTACAGAAAAGTTTATGTTGTATATAAAGCTTTACTGTCATATCTGTGCTCCTCTAGCAAGACAGTAATAGTGTGAATGATGGTGAAAGAATTTCTTTTTGGGTCACCCTGCCTCAGTGGGAGACAGCTAGAGTGTTAAAAAATAAAGCTTTATCATATCATTGACTTGATAGAGCTTTATTTAGAGCAAATACATCAACTGTAAATTAAGGTTTTGCTTTATACAACCTTTTTATACTATACTCAAGAAGATACAAGAGAACAATTTACTTTATGTTGAAGTTTGTCTTGTTGCATAACCATTTGAAATCCTTACCAGCCCTGGCCCTCCTTTTATGAGAGTGGAAGCTCGTGACCAATACCACCCAAACACAGCAAACACCGAATTCGTGACATGGCGTCCCCCATTTTAGTCACCCATTACGTTCCACACGCTCGCCATGAGAATCAAGAAATCCAGAAAATTCAAGATCGATTCAAAACTGCATAGAAAGCTTGTGAACAAAGAAAATAAGTTAATTCAAATTAATTATCACACACAAAATGAGAGGTGTACAAGCTGCTTTGCTGATAACTGTGCCTTGGGATTCTGAAGAGAAGTGCAGAGATGGTGAGATTTGTAGTAGTGCAAAAGAAGAAAATTAAAGGGAACACAGGAAAATAGTATGGAAACAAGATTAGTGATGAAAGATGAATACCAGATTGGGGGGAGAGTATGAGAGGAATATTCAGATATTTGTGGTGGTCGTGTCAGCGGTGGTTCATGAAAGATGAGTTGAATATAAATGGATGAGGGAAATTAATGAGGATCACTGCAGCTTAAAGTCTTGAACAAAGAACTGCTTGGAGTGAGAAAAGGGAATGTATGAGAGTTTAAATACCCAATATTTGTGTAATGGTAGAAGTACAGGAGGAAAAGATGGACATTGGTAATTGATTCATGTCTGAACAGTTGGAGGTTTTAAGGTAAATCTAATGGGAAAGAGATGTTTCCCAAATTTCCAAAAATTTTTTGTTTAAAATTTTTAATTTTGTTTTATCGCTAGATAAAATTATTTAAACTTATTTTAAAAAGGGAGGTTAGGGGTTAAAGAGTGGGGGGGGAAAAAAATTTTGGGGGTTATTAAATTTAAAGGGAAAAAAAAAGTTTGGAAAAGGGGTTTTTAAATTTTTTATTAAAAGGGGGAATTTTTTAAAAATTTTTTTTTTTTGTTTAAAAAAAAATTTTGGGGTTTTTTTAAAAAATTTAAATTTTAAAATTTTTTTTAAATTTTTTTTAAAAATTTTTATTTAAAAAATAATTTTAAATTTTTTTTTCCCCCTTAAAAAAAATTTTAAAAAAAAAAAAAAAATTTATAATTTATAAAAGGGGGGGGGGTTTTGGGGAGATTCAAGGGTTCAGGATTGGTGGAAAGGGGGGGAAAAAGAAAATTAAAGGGGTTTTTTTGGGGTGGTTTGGGTTAAAAAATTGGTGTGGGGGTTCAGATTGGAGGGGAGGTATGGAGGAGGTAAACGTATTCAGTTTTTGGGGAGTGGCGTGTCAGCGGAGGGTTTGAAGATGAGGTGATTATAAAAGGGATGGGGGAAAAAGAGTGATGGTGCATTTAGGAGCTGTGGGAACAAAGAACTTTGCCTTTGGAGGCAAGAGGGGAATGTATGAGAGTATAGTTTACCAACGCTCTTATATGGTTGTGAGGTGGGTGATGAATGTTTGCAGCGGGGGGAGAAGGCTGGAGGCAGTGGAGATGTCATGTCTGCGGGCAATGTGGGGTGTTGAATATAATGCAGAGAATTCGTAGTTTGGAAGTTAGGAGGAGGTGGGGGATTACAAAACTGTTGTCAAGGCTGAGGAAGGGTTGTTGAGTGGTTCGGACATGTAGAGAGTAATGGAGCGAAACAAATGACTTCAAAGTGTATCAGTCTGTAGTGGAAGGAAGCGGGGTAGGGGTCGGCCTAGGAAGGGTTGGAGGGAGGGGTAAAGGAGGTTGGTGCGAGGGGCTTGGACTTCCAGCAGGCATGCGTGAGCGTGTTTGATAGGAGTGAATGGAGACAAATGGTTTTTAATACTTGACGTGCTGTTGGAGTGTGAGCAAAGTAACATTTATGAAGGGATTCAGGGAAACCGGCAGGCCGGACTTGAGTCCTGGAGATGGGAAGTACAGTGCCTGCACTCTGAAGGAGGGGTGTTAATGTTGCAGTTTAAAAACTGTAGTGTAAAGCACCCTTCTGGCAAGACAGTGATGGAGTGAATGATGGTGAAAGTTTTTCTTTTTCGGGCCACCCTGCCTTGGTGGGAATCGGCCGGTGTGATAATAAATAAAAATAAATAAAATTGTATAATGCATATTAATTTATCAGCAGACAAGTTATGCAGAAAGGTTGAATAAATAGTGATAGGGAAGACTATTTAATGATTTGCACTCTGATACAAGGAACCTGGCAGTGGGAGTACAACGTCTATCTCATACATAAAGGACAGAGGATCGAGCCTCCACCACTATGTGCTGACTTACCTACTAGTTTTGACTGCACTCTGATACCAAAGTGCAACCTAATACCAGAGTTAAGGTTGTGTAAATTAGTGTAAGCAGAAATTCTATTAATATGGTTTTTCTTAGTCTCAATTGTTTTGTGGTTCAGTAGGAGAGGATTCAACTCATAACCAAAAGGACCCAAGTTCAAATCCTGAGCATGGCAAAACATACTGGCAAGTTTTCCTACACCTGCTTCCTCTGTTCACCTAACAGTAAACAGATACCTAGAAACTGAAAGTTGTATGTTATCCCAGGCATGAATACCTAGAGAGAACACTTGAAGACCCAAACAATAATATGCTGTACCACTTGGCTCTAACAGCTAATACAAGGTTACTAACAATCCAGAATTAACATAATTTGTTCAAATTTACTTGTCTTGAATATCCAGGTTGAGGAGGTTTTGAGTAAATGCTCTGAAATGGACGAAGAATCTCTGTTCCTCCCATGTCAGCACCTAAACTTTTCTGCAGCTCACAAGCTTCTGCTAAACTCTCTTTGTTGTATTCACGGCTTCCACTGAAAAATAAATATTTCCATACATTTCATTAATACATTTTACCAATATGGGAAGAACATAAAGAAGAAGCACTACAGCAGGCCAGCTGGCCCATGCTAGGCAGGTCCAACTCACCTCCACTCATGTATTTGTCTAACTTACTTTTAAAGCTACACAAGGTTTTTGCTTCAGTGATGCTACTCGAGAGTTTGTTCCACTCATCCACAACTCTGTTACCAAATCATTCAATAAATTACAATTACATACGGTATTCTTTTCTCACTCCACTGCTCATATCACTAAAGTTTAACTACAGATACCTTTACCTTATCCATCACTTTCCTAATCCCACTTCATTGTTCATGAATGCTGACAGTGACCCCAATTTAAACTGCCTATCAAATCAAAATGTAATCAATACTTTTCTGAAAGTAAGTGTATACTACACAGGATGTCAAACAAAAGCTGTTCTCAGCAACACCAGGAATATAACAATAATCAGCTACAATGTTACATACCTGAGTGAGCCCTATGATTATCTCCTAGCACTCAAGATTCTTTAAATACTAACATCTCCTTTATTATTTTCAATGAAACCTGACTTAAACATGACAGCAGACGTCTTTGCCTTACCTGGATACACAGCCATTCACAACTACAGGTCTGATGAAATGGAAGGAGGGTTTGCCAGCTACTACTCTAATGAACTAATATGTAGTCAACTACATGCATCAGTGATGAATATGGCAAATATATATTTGCTAACTTTTCAATCAAAAACCTTAAGACTCTTACTGAAGTTGGAGCAGTCTACAGGCTACTCATACTAATATCCCAACCTTTAGTGATAACTTAAATAACCTAATACAGTAGACCGTCGTTTAACACGGTGTTGTTTGCCAATTTTAGTTATAGCACTACTGAAAAATTGCGGCATATTTTTGTATAACACGTTGCAAAATTAACTTAACATGGTTCAGTTTGTGGGAGGGGAAAAAATTTGGAGCATTGTCTGCAGGATACACTCTGCTTGGCTGTGGGTTAGACCACTGAATCAACGGGGGAGACCTACCACCATCCCCCGCCACCCCCACTACCACTCCCACCACCCTTGTCCCAGCCGGTTCATACGTGTGTAGGACTGTCAATGGACTCTGATTCCAACCAATGCATCAATGGATTCTGACTCCAACCTGGCAGTACCAAGCTTCTGGAATAAATTTAACACTGCAGATGCCATCAGCTATGCAGGCTGAGGAAAGTTATGGCCTTCTGTAGTTAATTCTTTCACTAGTTTTCCCTTGCTTGAGAGTCAAGTTCAGGAAATTATTCAGCTGGCAAGGAGATTACCAGGTGATGGTTTTTGAAGATATGAATGAAGAAGGCGTGAATGAGCTCTTAAAAGATGATGATGATGAAGACAGGAGTCCAGAGCTTGATGCACAGATACAAGGGAGCCACGTAACAGAAGATGAAGAAGAACCTGAAAAAAAACAGTTAACAGTGCAGCAGTTATGTTAGCAGTTCTATATTACTGGTAAAGTTGCAGACTTTTTCACTGAAGAGGACCCCGACAAATCAAGAAGCAGTGCTTGGAAACAGGGTCTAGACCAGCTGATGATGCCTTACCATCAGCTGTACAATGTACTGCAGGGTAAAAGAGCCCAGAGATCCACTACAGAATTTATACACACTCCAATACAACCATCGACTTTAGTACCAGAACCTCTACCATCCTCTTCTGCTGACAACCAACAACCATCCACCTCAGCCCAGTAGGGCCACACCATCCATATCCACTCTCTTCACAATCATCCACAAACACCAGCACCCACAATTTAAGGTAAGAAATACTATTATTTCTATTGCATTTGTGGTCTTAAGTAGTAATATATCATGACAATGAACTACAATTACATATTCACTTTTATATTTGTAAAATTTGTTTGTCTAAAAAAACAGTTGTTTTGCTTTTTTGGGGCTCCCAGGAATGTAACTCCATTTTTACCATAAGTTCTCCAGTTTGTCTAACACAGTTTTAACTAACATGGCATTTTCAGGAATGTAACTACCGTGTTAAACGGTGGTCTACTGTAACTAACGAGCAAAAAAATGTACTTGCTGGTAATTTGAACAATACCTCTAGTCAAGCCAAGGACCTTCAAGTAACTGACTTCATTAACAGTATGAATAATTCATTGCTCATACCAGTTAGTAGGTTTTATATATTTATTATGCATCCCATACCCATGGTGTGGGTGGTAGTCAAAAGATTACACAGGTACATAATGGGTCCAGGGACTGGGCCCCAAAGTTTTGATAGCAGAGCAAGTTACAAAGGTAATGAACTCAAGGTAGATCTGGCCACAATCATGACAAGTTGCAAAGGTATTTAAAGGTTACAGAGGTACATAATAGATCCAGGGACTAGGCCCCAAAGTTATGATAGATGAACAAGGTTCAAAGGTAATACTAGCTGTAACTAAGCCAACATGAATAACCCAGACAAATGCAACCCCAATTGATCACATCTGGACCAATATATTGGATCCTTTCAAAGCAGGGATGGTCACAGACAATACCATTGATCACTATCTCACTTTCCTCATAACCAAAATATGTAAACTACCACTTGAAAATAGTAGAATATCATTTCATCTCCATGATAAGACATCATTAAATAACTTCACTACAGCAGTAAGTTACACTGACCGACACAGTTTACTGATGACAAGGTCACTGATGAATAAGTGAAAATATTTCTGCAAAATCTAGGTAGTAGGTTGGTAGACAGCAACCACCCAGGGAGGTACTACCGTCCTGCCAAGTGAGTGTAAAACAAAAGCCTGTACAGTAATTGTTTTACATGATGGTAGGATTGCTGGTGTCCTTTTTTCTGTCTCACATACATGCAAGATTTCAGGTACATCTTGCTACTTCTACTTACACTTAGGTCACACTACACATACATGTACAAGCACATATGAATATACATACCCCTCTGAGTTTTCTTCTATTTTCTTTCTAGTTTTTGTTCTTGTTTATTTCCTCTTATCTCCATGGGGAAGTGGAACAGAAGTCTTCCTCCGTAAGCCATGCGTGTCGTACGAGACGACTAAAATGCCGGGAGCAAGGGGCTAGTAACCCCTTCTCCTGTATATATTACTAAATTTAAAAGGAGAAACTTTCGTTTTTCCTTTTGGGCCACCCTGCCTTGGTGGGATAAGGCTGGTACATTGAAAGAAAGAAGATTTCTGCAAAATGTACAAAGCCATTACAATAGACATTGTCCTATTAAAACTAAGCAGATCAGAGTAAAGAGACTAAGTAGCCCATAGCTAACAGATAGCTTCCTTAAGTCCTCTGATAAGAAACATATGAAAAATAATGTAGAATGGGCTTAATAACTAAAGAACAAACCAAAAACTATACATCAGTACTTAGCAATCTAATAAGTATATCTAAACAATTGTATTATGCTAGCAGGTTAAATGAAATAAGAGGAGATAGAATATTATGCAGAGAATCAGTAGTTTGGATATTAGAAGGAAGTGCAGCCTTTCTAAAAGTATTATCCAGAGGGCTGAAGAGAGGTTGTTGAGGTGGTTTGGACATTAAGAGAGGTGGAAACAAAATAGAATGACTTGGAGGGCATCTAAATCTGTAGTGCAAAGGCGGCGGGGTAGAGGTCGGCTTAGGAAAGGTTGGAGGGAGAGGGTAAAGGTTTTGTGTGTGAGGGGTTTGGACTTGCAGCAAGCGTGCATGAGCATGTTAGATAGGAGTGGAGACAAATGGCTTTTATGACGATGTGTTGTTGGGGTGTGAGCAAAGTAACATTTATGAGGGATTTAGGGAAACCAGATAGCCAGATTTGAGTCCTGGAGGTGGGTAGTACAGTGCCTGCACTCTGAAGAAGGGGTGTTGACATGCCCCTGGCAAGACAATGATGGAGTGATGATGAAAGTGTTTCTTCTTTTTTGGGGTCACCCTGCCTAAGTGGGAAACAGCTGATGTGTTAATAAAAAACAAAAAGCCTATTGAGTATATCAGGTAAAGTGTATCGTAGGGTTATTATTGAAATAATTAAGAGTAAGACGGAAAGCAGGATCACAGATGAACAAGGAGGCTTGAGGAAGCGTAAGGGGTGTGTAAACCAAATGTTTACACTGAAGCATATAACTGAACAATACTTAGATAAAGGTAGGGAAGTTTTCATTGCTTTCATGGATTTAGAAAAGGCATATGATAGGATGGATAGGGGAGCAATGTGGCAGATGTTGCAAGTGTATGGGATAGGTGGTAGGTTACTAAATGCTGTTAAGAGTTATGAAGATAGTGAGGCTCAGGTTAGGGTATGTAGGAGAAAGGGAGATTATTTTCCAGTAAAAGTAGGCTTTAGATTGTGAAGCATGTCACCATGGCTGTTTAACATTTATAGATACAGTTGTAAAAGAAATTAATGCTAGGGAGTTATGGAGAGATGTGAGATTAAAATATGTGCAACCTAATAAAAAATGAGGTTTGTAACAGTTGCTTTTTGGCAATGACACCATGCTTTTTTGAGGGACTGAAAAAAAAAGTAAAGGTTAGTGGACGAATTTGGGAGTGTGTATAAAGAAAGTTGAAAGTGAACATAGGAAAGAGCAAGGTGATGAGGGTAACAAATAAGTTACATAATGAGAGACTGGATATTAGATTGGAGGAAGGGAGTAAACAGGAAGTGAAAGTGTTCAGATATTTCAGAGTGGACTTGTCAGCAGATGGGTATATGAAAGATGAGGTAAACCACAGAAATAATGACAGGGAAAAAAGATGGCTGATGCATTGAGGCATTTGTGGAAACTAAGAACATTATCCATGGAGGCAAAGAGGGAAATGTAAGAGTACAATGGTTCCAAAACTCTTATATAGGCGTGAAGCATGGGTTAACGGTGGAATACGGCCAGTTTCCTGAAAGAAGTAGCATGGTCCCCTGCTCTTCCTTTTATACATCAATGATCTTCCTAATGTATCTCAACAC